TTCGTGGACGACTCTGATCGCGACGGCGGCTGGCTCGAGAATGGGCGGCGGCTGGCAGACAGCGTCGACAACCACCTCCGCGATGCATGTGCTGGCGCTACATCCAGGCTGGCATCACTGCAGGTCGACGAGGCCGCAGCAGCATGGGGGCTGGCCAGCAAAGCGGTCGCCAGTGTGGGCGCTCCAACAGAATTCTGCGATCGCCATGTGTGACACCTCCGACATGGCGCGGCGAGGGCAGCGGCGGGTGTGCACGCGCCCACATCGACGCCTGGACTGGGCAACATGGCATGTGGAGCGAGTAGTGGCACTGCGGCGGCGGTGGATGCAACACAGCGGGCAGTGGGCAGCGCGGAAGGGCCGGCCAAGACGACTCGTGCGGCGGCGGGATTGCTGCTGCCAGTGTTGCTGCTGCTGCTGCCAGTGCTGCTGCTGCTACGACTGGGAATGCTACCAACACACAAGGTACGAGCAATCACTGCCGTGGGAGCAGCTGCATGGGCGGCGAGTCGGGCTGGCGCGACGCTTCTCGCCATCGAGTGACGAGTGCCTGCCAGCATTGTGAAGAAAGAGCACAAGGGAAAAAGAGTGAGCGAAGGTCGCTCAGAGCCAGTTTCACCCAATGAGGTCCGGCAAAATGGATAAGATGTTGAATTTGGAAGGTGAAAACGGATGGCAAGCTCAGCGGACAAGATAACAAAGGTTTTTGGTTCCAACGACGCGAAGGTACAATGCGTATTCGCAACAAAACAAAAAAACAGGCCTCCCAACAGTATTCAAGTTACATCAAACAAGGTCAAGAGACTTGTTGGACCCAGTACACAACGCGCCCAGCGGCGCAAGAAGGGATGCTTCTCAAAAACACACCCAGCAAAAACGCCCAATTCAGGAGCAACAATCGTCAAGCGTTAAACCTTGTACGCAGTGCCAAAGCAAGTCTTGCAGTACGGCTTGTTGTCTCGTGCCTGGAAGCTGCCAGCAGCGAGTGCCTTGTGGCAGCCCTCGCACGACAGGCTGAGATGATTGAAAAGCAAATAAAGCCAAAAAAAAAAAAAAAAAAAGCAAGAACGAGGGTTTTGACAAATAAGTATCGGGTGTAGTTGTTCCAATGCAATGCATGAACGATGGGGTTGGACTTTGAAGAAGTCATGATGAACGACGAGTCATGATTCACCAAGACGTACCATCGCTTGTGCCAGTTGGCGTCGAGTGCGCGGATTTTCTCGGCCTGGTAGACCGTCTTACTGCAGCGCGGGCAGGTGTCCGAGTTTACTAGCCATTCAAGCAAGCAAGAATGCCCAATCACAAAAGGCAACCAGACGAAAGAGACGCAGAGTTGAGTGAGCACAACCACACACAATGTTGTCCTTTGACGAGGAGCGCGAACGCGTACCCGGTGCGATTGTCGGGATCTTGGCAACGTATGACACACTGCCTGGGGTCGTGGTGAGCTTGATGGGGTGCGTGTGGCACGTCGGGCACAGCAGACCGTGCGCAGTGGACTCGTCACGGAAGAATTTGCCGTCCAAGTACGAGCCGCACATCTGCCAAAAATCCAACAAATACGCGGAATTGGATTTCAGATGCAATGATGATGGAAAACAAAGTAGCAAATAGCAAATGAGAAATGACGCTCAGATGAGCAATGCACGACTGTAGAGGACTGTGGAAGAAGAAAAAAAGGGTGCTTTACCGCGCAGTTGAAGCAGTAGAGATGCCAGTGCTGGGCGCCAACGGTCTTGTCGGTAATGTCGCCTGCGGGCTTGCTGCACACGGGGCATGTGAGGGTCGAGTCGGCTGTGATCAACGGCAAAGCAAGCAAAAACGCACACAGTGAGTGAGCGAAAAAAAAAAAAAAAAAAAAAAAAAAAAAAAAAAAGTCTCATTCGAAAGATCCTCCTTTGCCTCCGCTTTGCTGAATGCAGTGCGTCTCTTGCAATTTTTGGACGGTGATTGCAAGGTAACACAAAGCGTCGTGTGTGCCAACCCCAACCCCACCCCCAA